CAAATTCATCTGGCTTTCTAAACATTCCTCCTGCAATGAAAATTGAAAACCCATTAGGAGCTTTCTACACTCACCAGCTGACACAAACGTGTTTATATTACTTGCAGAAGTGATACTGACGCTATGCAAGTTAGAAATTTTTAGTTCAAGTGCCAGCAATGGCAAACTCAAGAAAGAGAAAGATCTTCTGAACAGTTCTGAAAAGTATTAATCCATAAAAATCTCATATGTGTGTGCGTGTGTGCCTATCCAAATTATATATATGTCTAGAACCTTTGTATCTTTTTACCAAATAATTACACCTTTGAAATTCTGGGGACATCCTATATAGATGTTCATTTGAAGTACTTTCTCTTGTTTATATGCTAATCCTCTCACTGCCCCCTGGGAAAGGGGTGCGCCAACCGCGTGAAGTTCTATTCGACAACTATGTTGAGATAACCTTAACAATCTCCATAGGATAAACATGGACTAATTCCTTCGCAATGTGAGTAATTAACTACACATAGAATTTACCAATTAACTCAAACGTTCAGTGCATCCATTACACTAAACAACTAATCACCAAGAAAAGTTATTCAAGTTAAAAGAGATTTTAAAAAGGAATATTCAATAGAATCCTTAAGTCTAAATTTAGCCCTACTCTATGCTTGTCATGCTGATCAACTTGCATGCCACTACATAATTCAAGGAAGCTATTCGTAATTAACTAGTAATCCATACCACTCACATGCAAATTAGTAAACCTAATTACAATTCAAGACATTATCATATATAACGAAATTAAGAACGTAAATTTTGTAGGGCAAAAAAAAAGTTCATCAAAAACTATGATATCCTAACAAAATATTATAATTCAATTAACAAAATTCGTTCTTTACCATTATAATTCATTCGACGAAGATTAGGGTTTTGGTATAATTAGGGAGACGGCAAGAAAAATATATATGGAGAAAAAGAGAACATACAAATTGATTTCTACGGGTAAATACAAGTTTGTGTCCGCTTCGGAAAAAAAGAGAGGGTAAGAGCGCGGCAAGGACTTGAGGCTGAACCGGATACGAATTTGGGTTGGATTCGGATCTTTCACTTATTTCTAGCCCACTTACAATAAGTTTCAGCTTGGGTCAAAGGTCCATTAAATAAGCCCCAACTTATTCAAATCCTAAATAAAAAGGGATGTACACATATTTAATACTTATTAAATATAATAATATGCGAATATCCTTTTTTTATTTAGGATTAAAATAACTAACATAATCATATAATTATGTTTTTTTAAAAAAATTGCCAATAGTTATGCGTGGCTGTAAGTTGTGAAACTTGCTTTAAATAGCATGTCTTTTTAACACGTCCTCAGATTATTTTATCTAAAAATATTAATTATTAGAAAATGCATTTTTTTAATTTATTTAAATAATGTTATCTAAAATATCCCTTCATATGCAAGTCGGAGCTAGGTGGGGTTTATTGATTTAGACTTGTAGTTTTTTCGTAAATTTTATATTTGTACTAGAAAATTAAACAAATATATATGTATATTCATTTGTCAATCCCTGAAAAATTTGATTGACAGTTATTAAAGAAATTTAGAACCCTCAAATTTTTAATCCTGAATTCGCCTATGTTCATACACGGTTTTGATTCTTTTTTATTCGAGCATGATCTTTTTTTGAATAATCAGTGGCATCGAGCTCAAACTCAACATCTCTGTCTGCTTTGGTAAAGTATGTATAAAGAAAGAGGGTGCAGAGTACTAACATCGTATTCAATTTCTTTTATTGTGAAACATAAATTTATAGACAAATTACATAAATACATACATTTTGTTTCACCTATTTCAATTATTCCCCTATTACTTTTAAAAATCTTCAAAATTTCTTATTTCTTAAATGCATCTAAGCTGCATATTAATGTATTTGAGCCAATATTTAATAAATTCGAGATACATATTATGTATGCAAGCTAATTTTTAATGTATTTGAGCTAAGTATTAATGTATTCGAGTCAGTATTTAATGTATCTGAGCTACATATTATGTATTTGATCTACATATTAATGTATCTGAGACAGTATTTAATGTGTTCGAGCTACATTATCCAAGTTTCAATTATTGTATCCAATTTGTTTTAATTTTTAAGGGCTTGATATAATTAGAAACTTAGAAGGGATAGATTATAATTTCGTATTAAAACTATGGAATATATGTAATTTACACTAAATTTATATGTAAAATACTGCTCCCTCCATTTAAAAAAAGTGACTTCCTCTTAGTTTGTTTAAAAAATAATGATTTACTTCTTTTTTTGGTAATATTTTAATTTCAGTTTTTCATGTGGTATGTGTAAGGCCACAAAATCAAAAGATAATTTTGTACATTTGACCTAACTTTAAGAACCACAAGATTTAAAAGTATTTTTTATATTCTTAAACTCCGTGTTAACTGTCAACAAATAGTATACATGACTCTATAACAATAAAAATATAATGGGTTAAAACATTCAAGGCTAAAAACTTAAAAAGGTACCCAGAAAACTTAAATCTTAAATTTACCTTTTCTTATGACTATCTTATTAAAAAAAAAAAACTTAAATTATTAAAAAAGAAAAACACTTTTGCTTTTTAATTATTCTCTCTATTACTCAAACGAAATTTCATGGATTTCAACTTCTACCTTAAGAGGGAAAAATCAACATTATTTAACTAACATAATAAGGTCGTAAAAAAAAAACTACTAATACATAATAGGGAAATTTCATATATAACCACTTAAAATAACTTAATTACTCTAGCTATAGTTTGATAATTATAAATCGTAGCTACATATTATATGGAGGAGATAGGCGAGCGAGACTGAGAGAGAGAGAAGAGAGAGGGGGAAAAGAATGGGAGAAAGGTGAATTGTATATGTATATCGGTTAGATAATTGTATATTATACATTTATATTTGTATATATGTCAAGCGAGAGTGAGAGAGAGAGGAGAGAGCCGAACAAGATTGGGAGAGGGAGGAGAGAGGCAAGCGAGAGAGGACATAGAGCGGGAGAGAGGTGAATTATATATGTATATAAGTGTATATTATACATGTGAATTTGTATATAGGGCTAGCGAGAGTGGGAGAGGGAGGAGATAGGCGAATGAGAGAAGGGGAGAGACGTGAATGTATATGTATATAGGTTAAATAGTTGTATCTTATATATATGTATTTGTATATTCTGGTGAACTATAAATATACAAACATGACTAATCGTACAAACTCGTCAACCCATATAATTAATATATAATGTTAGTTGCGAGTGATAATTATAATAATTTATAGCTATGATAAGTAATTAAATAGTATAAATTTGCTTTATTATGTAATTTTCCCTACGTAATAGACGGAAGACGGTAGCGGTCCATTTTATTCTATCAAAGAAGATGACTGACCAATTTAGTATGTAGTTTTTATTATTCTTCAGATATTGGCCATAATTGTGGTTATTATTCTTCAGACATTGGCCATAATTGTGGTGTTGGAAAAGGTTGCTGGTGAATCACTGAATGCCAACTGATCACATGCAAACCAAATCTTACGTTATTGCTTTTCTTTTTATAGTTAGCTTAAAAATCAATGTCCCTTTCTTGATTTGAGATTCTGATTTCATAGTCTCATGCAAACATGCTGAAAACTACAAAATTAAAGATTATTTTGAGAAAATAATTATTCGTATCAAATGTTTACATTCAATTAATGCAATTTACATTATTATGTGATTTAATGAAGTAAAACACATTAATTAATAAAGGTTAAATAAAAAGCCTAAGACATTTCCAGCCACTCAAAGTTGTCCGCATAATTCATTTAGACACCTCAACTAATTCTTGTGCCAATTGAACATTTTATTTGTTCAAAAGTCATTCCTATTAGACACAAAATGCTGACATGGCAAAAAACGTGTAATTCACTTTCCTTGAGCGCGTTAAATTATTAAAAATAATATTTTTCTTTTTTTTTTCTCTTAATTATACTCCTAAGTAAAAAAATTAACAAAAAAGAAGAAGAACAGTTATCTTCTTCTTCTTCCCTATTTCTATCAACCCCACCCCAACCCCCAAACCCATACACCAGTGGTTATCTTCTTCCCCCATCATTCTAATGATTTCAAAATTTTTAGTATCAGTGGTTATCTTCTTCCCCCACCATTCTAATGGTTTCAAAATTCTTAGCATTTTGTTTCATTTATAAATTTTTCGAAGAGATTCTTTTCTCCATCTTTCTCTACCTAAAAAACGAGATGAAGTAAAAAGTTATAATTAATAAAAAAGCTGATGAAAAAAAAATTGTCGGGTTAAAGATGGAACTGTACAGGGAGGGGAGGGTAGCCATTAATGGAGTTAGAGGAAATGTATGTTTTGTTCCAGTTGAAGGCAGGAAGTTTAGGTTTTACTTTTTTTTTTTCATTTTTTTACTTTAAAATAATTTTATTTTTTTTACTTTATAATATAATGTTTAAATAATTTTTTGGATTAAAAAATAACACATGTCATTATTTGATTGGTCAAATTGACATGTCAGCGCGAGTGTATTTCACACGTCCTCTATTTTTTGTTTATTCTCGAAAAAACGTTCAAATGGTTCAAATTCAGAATGGTTGAAGTGTTCAATAGGTAGTACGTCTAGTTGAGGTGTCTAAATGAATAATCGGGACAAGTTTGAGTGTCCGCATATGACTTTGGCCTAAATAAAATGAATTATAAATTTAATCACATGACATAACATGTACATATTAAATTGGTGTAAACACCCGATGCGGGTAGATTTTACCCAACATTTTGATCCAATATATGTGTCTTTATGTTAAAATCATAAAAATCAAAGAGTATTTATTTTCATAAAACTAAGGCAAACAAACAAATAAGGAGGGAGTATGTTCTTTTTCACATAAAAGGGCCTTAACCAGACAAGTAGCCTTTGTTTCATGAGTGATGCTGATGCATGACCAGTGTAAAGAAGACCCTTCAATCCCATTATCAGTGCATCATTCTTAGACAATACAATAGATTACATTCTGGCAACGTGAACTAATTTATAAGCAAGGGACAAGTCACCTTCACCATAGCCCCTTGGGAGAAAATGTTAAAAAATTGAAAGTAGCCTCCATGGTTATTACTAGGTCTAGTTTCAGTAGACAATTATAACTACGATGTTTATAAAAAGAAAAGTAAAAGTCTAGTCAATATTCGTCGTCTAGGGCAAAGTACAAATCTGAAAAAACACTTTCAACCTAGTTATCATGAATCCTGTTCTATGTATTGCTGCTGTCCTCTACAGTTCTACCTTAACCACCATCGTTGAATACTGGAGATCGGAGTATGCATGAATGGAGCATATCGTTGAACCAGAGTTTTTACATGCCTCCCAATAGTAGCCCATATGCTCTGGTGGTAATTAGCAGTAGCAGGAGCATGATACATAAGCTTTAATAGCTGCACAAGAGTTGAAATATATGTCAATGAAAATTAGTGATAGTAACTACATGATGGGACACATGTAAATTCCATTAAGAATTGTTGTCATCACTAAGATGCAAAAGACATCGAAAAAGAAACAACAAAGAAGGCCCAAATCTAGAAATTTCATACATTGCTTTCAGTAAAAGAGCTCATTCATCTAGAAAATGCAAGAAAAAGAAGCTGGAAATACTACTGAAAATGACAGGAGGACACATACCTGCCAGTACATAAAAGTTTGTAATATGTTACGCTGCTACCTGCATTTTGAAGGATGTGGAAAGCTATAAGCACAAAATGGGAAGAACAATAAGAATAACGAGTATAAGCACCCGGAGCAGTTGGGGAATATAGTAATTCATCAAACTAAGCACCAAATCCAAAACCAAGTGGAGTCTGCTATATGTGTTCCGTTTTATTCGGTATGATGAGTCAAATAGAATAAGAGGGAATACTAACAATGTAACGATGGTAGAACTTGCGCTTGAAATGGTCAGCAACATCGGAGCGGGAGCCCATGTGGGGAGGAATGAGAATGTTAGACCAGTAATCTGCCCATCTTGGATCATTCTCATAGTCATATGCCGCCGCCGCTATCTTCTTCAATTTCTGTAAATCCTCTGCCTCTTTTCCCATCTCTCTCTCTCTCTGCTAACTCAGTGGAGTCGTCGTCTCTTCTGCAATTCTTTGCAGTCGTTTAGTCGTGGAGTGCCTAGAAATTTTCTCGAATTTCCCTTTCACACGTCTAATTATTAGAAATATATTTTTATTAGTAATTTGTTTCTAATTAATAATATGGGCTATGGCTTACTTTCAAGAAAATAATAACTTTAAACAGTTAAAAATTAATTAATTTTATTTTGATTTTTAAATAATAATAACATACACTTTTTAGTAGAAATATTATCTTACGTGTTTTAGGTAAACAACATATTTCATGCAAACAAATATGAATTTAATAAAAGTCAAAATTAATTGATTTGAGTTACAATACATAAGCCCAATTTCATCTCATTTCAATCTTGAGGTCCATCTTGATCGCACGTGGACAAATGATGTGGCATGCCAAATCAAATAAGAAATCAATAAAATCATGACATGCATCAAAGATGACAAGTCCGCTCCATGAAGCTCATATATCATATCATTTATATCTAATTGACCGAAGTGTACCAATCGCAACTCATCTATTATAAAACTATACATAGGATCCTCATAATTGGAGACAAAAAATTCTAAACAAAAAGCTAGAGAAAATCTGTAATACAAAGGCCATAAAATTCTCTATAAAGCTAAAAGTTTAATAATTCAAACAAGTCAAACCTTGAATTCAAGTAAAAGTCAAAGATAAAATTCAAGTTTAAGTTTATCCGAGATTCAAGAACAAATTTAAAGCTCTTATATTTGAAAAGACGAATTCAAAGAAATTATAAAAATTGTACTACTCACACTTTAAAATGGTAAATACGATTATTACTATAATTTTTTATCATTATTTTTTAGACGCAAATTTTATTGTCTAGAACGTTACCTTTATATAAATTGCTCTAATTGCTATATATACGTATTTTGAGGCAAATATTACTATTCACTGTTTGCAAGGAAGGCGTTGTGACGCATGGAATAGTAATCTACTGAGCTTTGACTTAGTAATTTTGGGAGGAATTTCATTATTATCAACTGCTACTGCAAGAGGGCTTTGATACCCAGACAAGTGGCCACCTATATTCAACCCATTTTCAAGTTGTATGGCCTCTTCCAATGTTCCAACTATTTTTCCAAAGCAAATATATCTCCCACACCCTCCATAATCCATATCTTCATAGACGTAAATATGTGCTTCTGCCACTTTACTTGCATCTTCAGTTGCTAGAGTTCCTTGTCTTAGCATGAAATCACCACCTACAGTTAAACATTAACAAATCGATCAATTCTCAATCTATTTTACTAGTTTAATGCAAAATAGAGTTGCAATTGCTAATCTCTTTTCCAATCGCGGAAAATTTTAAGTTATAGATTATTGATTGTGTGAAAAAATACCTTTGAGGTACGGGACAGAAGTTTCAAGGTGAGCGTTTGGGAAAGATGGTGCCATGAGAAGTCCAGGGCATACGGTAACAAGTTTCACCTTCATCTCCCTTGCTTTCCACCAAGCAGCCTTTTCTGCCCTGGTCTTGGCCAATGCTACCCAAAGCTAAGATTTTAAATAGTAGAGACGATTAATTGTAGAGGTGAATCCAGAATCTAGAGTCAGTGAGGGTAAATGATTGTATTACACTTGTACATTTTAATTCTCTTTGTATTCCGTCTGCCTTTTAGGCGAAAATGAAGAATGAAGGCTAACAAGTATACCTTGTGTTCTCTACAGAATGTCTCATCACTCCAAGAGCTCTCATCTATGAGGTTTGGCAGGTCATTTTTCCAGATGCATGCAAGTAGAGAAGAGGTGAAAACGCATCTTTTAACATGTGCTGCCCTGCCACAAGCTTCTATGACATTCTTTGCTGCTTCAGCTTCAATAAATGCCATTCGTTCCTGAATCATATCGGCTTCTCAGCATATCTTTGAGATTTACACAGGTTGAATTTTGTTTACTAGTTTTTTTTTTCAAAACAGAGCTGCTGCACTAGGTGGAATTTAAAGGAATTTCTGTTCATATTTTATACTTCTACATAATCGATCATATGATTCGAACAAAAGTTATTGGTTAATCATTTATAAACTAGGGAAAAAGGTCAAATATGCCCCTAAATTATTTGAAAAGGTTTAGATATACCCTCCGTTTAAAGTTTGGTCCATTTATATCCTTGCCGTCCAACTTTTGGTCTACATATGCCCTTTTGTGCGTTAGTTGGCCAACTCGAAATATCCAACTCATTTTACTTTTATTTAAATGCCAAATGGATTCTCTACGTCATTTTTATGTATTATCACTTGACATTTATATTCAAGGGAAAAGGGTCAAGTATGCCCCTAAACTATTCGAAAGGTCTAGATATACCTCCGTTTAAAGTTCGGTCAATTTATACGCTCGCGTCCAAACTTTTGGTCTACATATGCCCTTATGGGTGTTTGTTGGTCAATTCGAAATATCCAACTCATTTTACTTTTTTTTTAAATGCCAAATGGATTTTCCACATCATTTTTATATATTATTACTTGACATTTATATTAAAAGAGAAAGGGGTCTTTTATGCCCCTAACTATCCGACCTAATTTTAAAACACATATACGACCGTCTTTTAAATAATCCATACCCGACCCTTTTTCTAAATACCCTATATGGGTCGGATTAAGGCTTAATTGAACCATTTAAATGGCGAACACTATCGTGTTCTGATTGGAACCGCCGAGGAATCAATGGCACGACAACTAAAGGAAAAGGAAGTCGAGGTTTGAAAAGCGTTTTGGCGCAACGCAGAGCTGGAGGTGCAAACCTGGCAGGCAAGGGCTAGAGCAGAGGAATTTACCGCAACAACGTTACAGACACAACTGCAAGCTGCAACAGGCGATGATGATATAACTAACAAAATAATTCACACATATATGAGTCGGATTAGGGGCATAATTGAACCATTTAAAACACGGTCGTATATGTGTTTTAAAATTGGGTCAGATAGTTAGGGCATAAGTGACCCCTTTCTCTTTTAATATAAATGTCAAGTGATAATATATATAAATTATGTGAAATCCCATTTGGCATTTAAAGAAAAGTAAAATGAGTTGGATATTTCGAGATGACCAACTAACACCCATAAAGGCATATGTAGACTAAAAGTTGGACGCGAGAGTATAAATGGACCAGACTTTAAACGGGGTATATCTAGACCTTTCGAATAGTTTAGGGGCATATTTGACCCTTTTCCCTTGAATATGAATGTCAAGTGATAATACATAATATTGACGTGGAAAATCCATTTGACATTTAAATAAAAGTAAAATGAGTTGGATATTCCGAGTTGGCCAACTAAAGCCCAAAAGGGCACATGTAGATCAAAAGTTGGACGGTGAGGGTATAAATGGACCAAACTTTAAACGGAAGATATATCTAAATATTTGACCCTTTTCCTTATAAACTAAGAGAAAGAATATTATGACTAACCGTGTATCCAGAGATCCCTCGTGGATCAATGAAAGATGATGTGTGGAAAACAACATGACAACCTCTAAAAGCATTGCAGAGGCTATCTAAATCATCCATTCTTGCCACCACAACACTCTCCAGTTGCTTCATTTCTTCCCTCATTAGCTCCTTCATATCCTCAAGATTAGCTACTTAAAACAGGAGTAACTTGTAAGTTTTAGCAAGACACAAATTGGAACTGCACAAGTATAAGGAAAGAGGGTTGCTGGCTTGTGTACCTTGATTTTGAATAATAACTCGAACAAGGTAACCATATGCCAAAAGCTTCTTGATCAAGTGAGAACCAAAGTAGGAGTTTCCACCGGTGACACAAACAATTTTCCTGTCTCTTGCATTCAAACTGCAGATAAAATTACCACTAGAAAAGAACATTCCATGATCATTCCTCTGCTTTAGTGGCTCCAATTCCAAGGATATCGCGACATCCATCTCTCTCTCTCTCTCTGCAGCTCAATTATGAAATTGTCTTCTGTTCAGAGGTATCTGCCACTTAAGTTGACATAGTTAGAGAGTGGCCTACTTATTATATACACTCATACAAGCTCTACATATAGTTCCATCCGAGCATATAAGAAACCAAATAAATTAAAACTCTTTAAGCTATACGTACCAAAAGACAATAAATTAGTTAAGTACTAAATAAAATGGTAAATGTGAAAGACTAATTGCAGGAGTTTTTGTCTTTTAGTGTGAACTAGAATGTTAGGTAGTGTTTGTGGAGGTAACTTCACCTCAAGTTTTGCCATCATTGAAGCACTACGTCAATATATTTAGAAGATGAAATTTATATTTAATTACTGTAAGCCAATCAGGTTCCCCACTTACACCTACCTTGCATATTGGTCATTCATCAAATTACGAGAAAGTGGATACTTATTATCAAAGTCAAGGCTATAGTGTGAAAAATCCACTTATTGATCTGTAAAAGGGAGAACTAACTAAGATAAAGATTGGCCAGTGTCTCTGTCTCGTGGATCATTTATTATTCGGAAAAGGATCAAAAATACTTTTAAACTATCCGAAATAGCTTATATATCTTCAAATTGTATTTTGGCTCAAAACTATTCTTCCCGTTAAACTATTGGATCAAAAGTGCTCTTATAATTAACGAAAATTATTAAATGCCGTGTGGATGCCACATGGCACGCCAATAAATTTCCACTGCCACATCGACTAGAAGGAAAATGGTCAAAAGTACCCTTAAACTATCCGAAATAGTTCATATTTACCGTTAAACTATATTTCGGCTCAAAACTACCCCTCCCGTCAAACTATTGGGTCAAAAGTGACCTTCTCATGCGGAAGTTGTTAAATGTCATATGGATGCCACATTGCATGCCAATAGGGTTCCACTGCCACATTGACTAAATCCCTAAATCTTAATTATTCATTTTCCCCTCAAATCATTATTTTTCAGGAACGATTTCATCCATTCTCCCTCATTTCGCGGCTAGGATTTCACAATTTTCTTCGTTGCTGGTTTTCAAAGTGGATATTTTTGGTTGTAGGTTAGTAAAAATATTTTCTTATTTTATTGTGTTTACAATCATGAAAATCTACTTTGAAACTTAGCTCCGAAAAAAGTTATGAAACCTTGATCGCGAAATGACGGTATAGTTGTGAAATTCTAGCTATCATACTTTTAAATCATAAACATAATAAAATAAGAAAAAATATTTACTAACCTACAAACATGAATGTACACTTTGAAACTCAACCCCTAAGAAAGCCACGAAGTCTTAGCTGCGAAATTAAGGGAAAGTTGTGATATCTTAACTATTATGCTTTGAAATCGTAAAACACAATAAAATAAAATAATTTTTTTTTCTAATTTACAAGCATGAATATCCACTTTGAAATCCAGTCACGAAGAAAAGTATGAAATCCTAGCCGCGAAATGAGGGAGAAGGGGGGAGCGAGGGGGGTGATTAGGATTTAGGGATTTAGTCTATGTGGTAGTAGAACTTTATTGTTATGCAATGTAGCATCCATATGACATTTAACATATTCTGTTAATAAGAAGGGTATTTTTGACCCAATAATTTAACGGGGAGGATAGTTTTGAACCGAAATATAATTTAAGGATATATATGAACTATTTCGAATAGTTTAAGGATACTTTTGACCCTTTCTATTTAGTCAACGTGTCAATGGAAATTTATTGGTGTACCATGTAGCATTTAACAACTTCCGTAATAAGAAGCGTACTTTTGATCCAATAGTATGACGGAAAGGATAATTTCAAGTCGAAAAGAAATTTAAGGACATATATAAGCTATTTCAAATAGTTTAGGGGGAATTTTTATGTTTTTTTTTTTCGTTTATTATTTTATGGGAAATGTTAAATCAACCATATCAAACTTTGCCCAACAATTTCTACAAATTTATGCGGCACCGAGGCAGCTTACGTGGAGATTGCAAAATCATCCAAAAGACAAGTCATACAATTGATGCTAGTACTTAATGAGCTTTTATAAGTCAATCCAGCACTTGTTTTTATAATAATTCAGGTTAAGTAAACATCCGACTTTATCAGCTATTTAATGACATGATTAATATACATAATTAAGAATCTGTGAATAAACTTTGGATGGTTAAATAGCTACATGGAATAAATTTTTTGTCCTTCGACAAATTTTATATGCTTCCATAAGGTAGTAACTGCATTTGGTACTCCGTCAAAACGACCCTTGATTAACATTTTATCTACATTGTATGAATAGAATGTTGATTTCAGAATGCTACAAAACCAATTGTTTGTCGTGTGAAGACACCATAAAGGAGTAAAAAAGAATGCATATTTCAACACTAGCCGAAAAAAAAAGAAAGAATAGCACAGTGATTTACAATGTTAATTACAAGTCAGATCTCTCTGTGAAGAAACGCTTTTCATGGGCAATTATTTTGGTAATGAGCCATTGAGAACTCAACTCTTATAGCTGCCTTGGGAATAATTGAAGAAATCTGAACTGTACTCTTGACTTCCAAATGCCATCTTTTGAAACATTCTTATCTGTGCAGATTGTTCCCTTGACTCAAAAATTCCACTTTGTCCAGGTTTCACTCCATTGGACAGATCTGACAATTCATCCATGGAATCTAGAGCTCTAACCACCTGAAATGGGCGGAAAAAATCAGGACTGCAACGAAATGAATCATAATGAACTGCCTGACCTGCAATAGCACTCTAACTACCTGACTCATCCGTGGCCTCTTAGAGCCTGAATGACGCACGCAAGCTGCAGCTGCTTCAATCATCCGGAACATCTCACCCGCAACAAAGTTGTTTCCAAGCCTAGGATCTACTACGTCTTCAAAATTTTCAGTCTCAAGTGCTTGAGCAAGCAAAGGTCGAGCCTACAGGATAATATCTCTCAGCTTCAATTTAATGGAAGTACTAGTTGGATGACTTCAGAAACATGGAAAACTTTAAACGGTTCCATCACTAGTGTGAATAGCAATGCTAATAGTCAGATAAGGTTAAGAGCAGTATCTCGTACCCATTCCTGTCATTCTGTTAAATGTAAATATTCAGGGGTACATGAATAAGAATGCTTGGGTTACTACATTTCACGGAAAATGACAAAAATGGTCCATTACATTGGGGGTAGGTTTAAAATAGTCCCTTAAAATATGTAAGGAACTCTGGCCGTTACATTTAGCGGCAGATATTCTGGCCAACAACAACATACACTATTACCATCCATAAGGCCCAGAGCCTTCAAAGAAAAATTTGGAAACCAACCTCTTTCTTGTTCCTCAAAAGAAATAAACATCCTAGAAACCCAGTTCTCCCATATAGATTAGGACACAGCATAGCCTAGGCCACAAGCTCTGATTAAGCATCAACATCAATCATTACAGGCAATTAAAAGCGACAAAAAAAATTGAACTTACCCATTCAACCAGGCTTTCATCACCTAAGGGCTGAGACTGGTCAACAGGTTTCCGCCCCGTAATAAGCTCCAAAAGCACAACGCCAAATGAATAAACATCAGATTTCTCTGTTAATTTTCCACTTGATGCATACTCTGGTGCCAAGTATCTGAAATCGTTTACATCAATGTCAAGTCATCAGCTAAGGGCATGCCATACAACTATAAAATTAGTCATTTTGATAAATAATTTAATATCAGTTTAAACCACTTATGTGGGTAGGATGACAAGGGCTATTGGAAAATTAAGTGACTGACATATACGTTATGGTTTTGAGATGTTGCATAAAAGCAACTGTTTGACTGAAGACCAAATCCTGCCCCCATACAAGAGTACAAAGTTACCACAACTCGAGGCTGATACCGACTGAAGGTTGTTCTTACAAGTGAGGAATCAATATATGTTAAATAAAGGTCAATTTACTCTCTCCCCTGAGGTTCAAAGTGAAATGGAAGTGACAAAAAGTAATACTATAAAAGTTTTAGAAGGAAAAGCAGCTTTAGGATAAAAGTTTTTGGAGATTATTTATGGTGCAACTGACCATGGTGTTGATGATGTTGACAGATAATGTGATATTGCAACAGAAAGAGGCCAACTAAGATTTCTTCTAATTTAAGACTTAGCACATGTATGACCTACCCAAAGGTTCCCATCACACGAGTTGTCACGTGTGTACTACTGGCATCACCTGCTAACCTTGCAAGGCCAAAATCAGCAACCTGAAAGGACGAAACATAGTCAAATTGCATAAACTATAAGCCATAACACATATAATTTCCTATACACCATTACAAGCACGGAATATGAGATTTTTTTGGTTCAGATGCCTAAGTTCAACAAACAATGACAAACACCAAGTCACAGACATAAATTTAGGTAGGATATACTGTCATATACCTGTGCCTCAAAATTGATATCCAAGAGAATGTTTGATGTTTTGATATCCCTATGGATAATGCGGGGATGACCTGAGAACAACATAATTAGCAGAATTTCAGAGGATAAATCAGTAAAGGAAAATTGCAAAACATTTAAAATGTGCTCTATTCCCTAAGAAAGTCCATTCAGCTTGCCGACATTACAACAGAAAAGATTTTCCCATTTTAGCATTAGTTCTCATTAATAAACAGTGCAGTTACCAATTACATTGACAAGTCATGGTTTTATCATTGATGAAAACACATGCTAAGAAAACAACATTGGATACTGCATCTGAGCTTCTTTGGAGAAATTCAACCAGTCTTTAAGCCACTTTGTCCCCATTATTCCTTTTATTAAGTCTCCAGAAGCCCTAGGTTTAACTAATGTGGACAAGAGTAAATATAAACATAATAAGAAAATTACAGTCTTCATGCAGATAAGCAAGTCCACGTGCTGCACCAGCAGCTACTTTTACTCGGGTAGCCCAATCCATAGTTGGCATGCCTTTACCTGCAGTATTTAATCACCAATAGAAGTTACGTTAGCATCATATCTGAGACTAGAAAACATCCTTCTCAGTTTCACTTATGTTCATAGAAATGTGGCACAGTATAAGGCCAATTGGTTGTAGCCGTTGTTAGCAGCTATTCATGTCATAATGGTCATTACCAGCCATGATAAGAAAAATATGCAACTCATCTTGGAATTGTGGAGTTGGAGAATTCAACATAGAGAACAAAATCT